CTAGAACTTTCACAACCCTCCCTCAAATGTGCTTTACAGAACAGACTCAGACTGGGCGCCCTGTCCCTCTAGGCCAAGCTGATCCTCAGCCATCGGAGCCCAGCATGGGAGAGGCCATCAGCCTGCCCTGCCCGTCCCGATACACTGCTAGGCAGTGGGTGGGGCTTGCGGGCCCGCGAGCAGCCCCATGGAGGGTCCCTGAGTCCATCTGTACTAATGAAAAAGTCACATGAGCTTGTCCCATAGCGTCCATCCATAACTCTGCCCTCTGGCCCCTCTCCCCAGATGTGGGCTGTGACAAGACTCGGCCACGGGTGACCCTACAGGAGTGGAACGACCCTCTGGACCATGACCTGGAAGCACAGCTTATCTACCGGCAGCTCCTGGGCGTGGAGCCGACCCTACGGTGAGCAGGAGGATGGCATGTGCCAGGTCAGGGACTGCAACCAAGATTCCAGCTGGAACTGCCTCTCAGTGGCTGGCACCTCTCTCTCCGCCAGGTCCAGCACCCTCTTTTATTGGAAAGGCAGTTTTACAGAGAAGGAGAGCTAGAGAGAAAGATCTTGTGTCTGCTGGTTCACCCCAAAATGGCGGCAACAGCCAGAAGCTGAGCTGATCTGAAGCCAGGAGCTTCTTCCAGATCTCCCACGTGGGTGCAGGGACCAAGGTGGAGGGCCATCGTCCACTGCTCTCCTAGACCATCAGCAGGGAGCTAGAGTGGAAGTGGAGCAGCTGGGACATGTACTTATGGAATGCCAGTGCTGGCAGGTGGAGGGTTAGCCAGTTGAGTCATTGTGCCAACTTCCTCACCGACCAGCAGCCTCTTGTCCTTTCCAGGGAGGGCACCTGCACCACCATCCTGCAGCATGAGGCTGGCTCCCGTGAGGATCTGGCCTTCCGGGTAGGCTTACCGTGCTCCCATGCGTACCCTCAGAGCCTAAGCCTGGTCCTTAGCTGGCACGCCAAAGTCCTCAGCCATGTTGATTACTTTTGTGGCTGCAGATTAGAAAAAAATGGGAGGCATTAAAAAAAAAAAACAACTTTATTTGCAAAGATTGATTCGGTGACTGATTTGCAAGGTAGAGTGATACAGATAGGTAGAAAAAGATGTTTCCATTTGCTGGTTCCTTCTCAGAGTGTCCACAGCAGCCAGAGCTGGACCAGGTCAGAATCATGAGCCCAGAACTCCACGTAGGCCTCACATGCGTGGCAAGGACTCAGGCACCGGGCATTGTGGGCCATCTCCCAGGCACGTTAGCCGGAAGCTTGATTGCAAGCCAAGTTGGGACTTCATCCCGGGCACTGCAGCGTGGGATGCAGGAATCCCAAGTGGCTGGTTAAGGGCTGCCCCTAGTACAACTTTAAGAAACAAATGCCAGCGTGCATGTTGTGTGTAAAACTTCCACCTGTGAGGTTGGCATCTCATTTGTGCACCAGTTGGAGTGTCACTGGGCTCCAACTGGGCCACTGTGGCCGTCTGGGGTGTAAATCCGCAGATGGGAGCGCTCTCTCTGTCCTTCTGTCTCTCTGCCTTTTGGCAAATTAAGTAAACATTTTTTTTAAAGATTTATTTTTTATTAGAAAGATTTACAGAGAGAAGAGACAGATCTTCCATCTGCTGTGATTCACTCCTCAAATAGCTGCAAGGATAGGAGCTGAGCCTGTCATGCCAGGAGCTTTTTTCGGGTCTCCCACATGGGTGCAGGGTTCCAAGGCTTTGGGCCGTCCTCGACTGCTTTCCCAGGTATGTTAGCAGGGAGTGGGATCAGAAGTGGAGCAGCTGGGACTCGAACCAGTGACCATATGGGATGTAGGCAGAGTAGATGGTGGCTTTCCATGTGACCTCGCTGCGCAGGCCCCTGCTGCCTGCCTCTTGGCCACCCTGAGCTCCACCAGGGGGCGGTGTGGGACTGTATGCATGCTTCCCAGGGCTGCAGGTCAGTGCTGGGCAAGTGAAAGCAGGTCTGAGGCTTGGCTGGGTCTCACAGTGGGTATGGCAGGGAAGGGTGGCAGCATGGAGAGAAGGTGACCAGTGGCTGCTCCAGTTGCTAGAAGGCCTGTCCCCCAGGGCCTGGAAGGCACCCACTGCTGCAGGAGGAGCTGCCTGGGGCTTCCCAGAGGGGCACACCCCTTGCAGGGTGGAGCAGGCAGGCAGCCGAGGGGTGAGTCAGGGGGAGCCGTAAGGAAGGAACCACCCAGCCTAGGATGAGTATCACCACACTTCCTACCTGAGCAAACCCTTTTAAGAATTGCACTTAAAAAAAAAGTTGAGTGCCTGGTGCGATAACCTAGCGGCTAAAGTCCTCACCTTGCACATGCTGGGATCCCACATGGATGCCGGTTCTTTTCCTGGTGGCCCCACTTCCCATCCAGCTCCCTGCTTGTGGCCTGGGAAAGCAGTGGAGGGTGGCCCAAAGCCTTGGAACCCTCACGTGGGAGACCTGGAAGAAGCTCCTTGCTCCTGGCTTCGGATGGGTTCAGCTCTGGCTGTTGCTGCTGCTTGGGGAGTGAATCAAAGGATGGAAGATTTTCCTTTCTGTATATCTGACTTTGCAATAATAATAATAAAAAAAAAATAAAGCCTTAAAAAAATGTTGGGGCTGGTACAGTGGTGTAGCAAGCTAATACCCCGCCTTGTAGTACGGGCATCCCATATGGGCACCTGTTTGTGTCCTGGATGCTCTGCTTCCCCACCCCGCCAGCTCCCTTCTAGTGTCCATGGAAGATGGCCCAAATCTTGGGACCCTGCAGAGGCTCAAGACCCTCAAGAGGCTCCTGGCTTCAGACCAGCTCAGCTCCGGCTGTTGCTGCCATGTGGGGAGCAAGCCAGTGAATGAAAGATGTTTCTGTCTCTCCTCTCTGTAAATCTGCCTTTCCAATAAAAATAAATATGTCTTATAAAAAAAAAAAGGTCATAGTGGACCTTCTGGTCAACCCACGCTTAGGCGGTGGCTCAAAGTGGGAGGTCAGTCCTGTGTCCACGTTGTGGGAGTCGGCCTGGTGGCTCAGGCGGCCCACGCGGCCCACGCTAGCCCTCCCACAGCCCTCACCATGTCCTGCTCCACAGGGAGAAGTACCGGGAGCTGAGCCGGGGCCCAGAGGCAGGTGAAGGTAGGCGTCTGGGTTTGGGGACACTCTCAGCCCCAGTACTCCCCTCCTTGCCCCTTGGGGGTGTCCGTCCTCATGGTCCGTCAACTGCTTCCAGTCCCCGAGGCCCCCCTGGCTCAGCTGCTTCAGGTGCTGCAGGACCTGCAGGAGGCACATGGCCGCAGCCTGACCAGCCCTCCACCTGGGGTGCCCAGGCACCTGCCAGGGCTGCCGACGTGAGACCAGCTCCACCCCTCGCCGGGTGCCTGGATGCCAATGCTGTCGCTGTCACCCTAGTCCCAGTCACCATGGTGCAGGGCCGGGGCCTCTCCTGGGCCTGGTGAGTTTGAGGGAGAACCAGGGGCCAGGCATTCCGGAAGGCAGGAGCGACCTCTGACGTGGCGTCTGTAGGGGACTGTATCCTTCTGGCTCTCCTGTGAGGTCCCGTGGCCCAGACTCTGCCAGAATGACAAGCCCAGCTAGAAACCTCCACCCCTGGATGGTCCACCCTAGGTGGGCTGCCCTGTTGGACCCCGGAGACCAGCCCCACTACCACTGCCTGGCCACCCCCTGGGCGGGGGGTTGTGGTGCTCTGACAATAAACCTGTCGTGACTTCCCAGGCTCGTGGCTCTTGGGGCTGGGGCTCCAGGAAGAGTGGGCCCTGGAGGAAACTGGGGGAGTTGTCAGCCAAGGAGTGGGGTCACCTCCACCCTTGCCCAGGCTGAGGCCCGCATGGAGCTGGGTCCACACGGAGAAGTTACTGACTACCCACCAACCCTCCCCTCAGGCCCTCCAGCCCCTGGCTTGCCCATGGAGTCACCCTGACTGGCCCCACATCCCCAAGGCCTCCCTGGTCCCCAGAGATGTGTGTAATGTCCCCATCACCCAATGTTCCCAAACTGCTCCCATCAATGGCCAAGCTGGGATGCAGCCCAGCCCTCTGCTTGGGGTCCAGAGACTCACAGAGTCCTGGGAGCTGGGCTGCTCGGCTGCCCTTGGTCAGTCCCTCAGGGCCTCATGGAGGAGGCAGCCCACCGAGCCCTGCCTCTTGTCCAGCTGGAGCTCCCACAGCCTCCTGGGGTAGGACTCTGTCACTGGATCACACAGCAGGAGATAAAGGCAAGGCCCCCCGGTGCCCGGGCTATGCCCTCTGCTGCTGCAGACAGCCCAGGTCTGGGGTGTGTGTGTGTTGGGGGGACTTTGTGCCTCAGTGGGACAGAGCAGGTCCAGGGGCTCCAGCTGACCTCGTCTCTCCCCCGTCCCCCTGCAGCACTCACTGGCCTCAGGCCCCCTCCTAACCCATTCACTCACTCTTCACCTGTGAGTCCATCCACCTCTCTCTCTCTCTTTAATGATTTATTTATTTGAAAATCAGAGTTATGGAGAGACAGAAAACCTCCATCTGCTGGGTCACTGCCCACATGACTGCAATCAGCAGGAGCCAGGAACCGGGGATCACATGCTCCTCTGCCCTCCCCGGCGCGTTAGCAGGGAGCTGCGTGGGAAGTGGAGCAGCCAGGACAGGAGCTGGTGGTGCCCACATGGCTCGCCGCTTCCCAGAGGTCTGAACACATGGCACCACAACACGGGTCTCTGGAGAGTCTGCGGGTGCACAACTTTGAGAGCCCAGGATCGTGGGCGGTTCTGGGGTTATATGGCAAGTGTGGGCAGGTCCAGGGAGGCGGCGGTGGTGGAGACTTCGATCACGTGGCGCCGGTGCCAACCTGGCCAGGGACTTGCAGCTGTCGGGCCGGATGCCCGGAAAGGGCCGTCCACACGCGTCGCTGTGTCTTGAGCCTCACGTCCCTGCAAACAACCGGGTTGCAGGAACCCAGCAAGCCACGCCCCGCGAGCCGACCAGCAGGAGCGGGGGCGTGGCTTCCACGGGGCGCATGCGCAGAGTCCGCGCTAGCCGCTTGCGCAAGCTCCTCCGCGTCGCCAGGGGGCAGTGAACCGGTCCTGAAGCGTCCGGGCCTGGAAGCGGCGTGACCCGGAAGCGGTTGCGTTGTTGCGTCTGGAGGCGGCGGCGGTGGCGGAAGTGGCCGTGTAGGGGGCTGCGGCGGCAGGATGAACGCCCCTCCAGCCTTCGAGTCCTTCTTGCTCTTTGAGGGGGAGAAGAAGTAAGCGGGGGCCGCCCGGGGGCGGCGGGAGGCAGTGTGCGCGCGGCGTGCGTGGAGGGGCGTGCGGGTGTCGGGGGCAGGAAGGTTCGGCCGAGCCGAGGGGCTAGGGCGGGCCCGTGGCCGGCAGTCGGGAGTTGGGGGGAGCTGGTGTCCCGGTGCCGGCGGGGAGGGAGGTTTGAGAAGCTTCGGGAAGGGTGTCGGAGGAGGTCAGGGGGTAGATGCCACTTTTTTGGGGGATGTCGAGCACTTGCGAGCGGGAGGTGTGGCGTAGTTAGAGGGATCTGCCTCCTGCTGTGGGGTTCACTCCCCAAGTGGCCCCAACGGGCCGGGGCCGCGCCAGGAGCGTCAGGTCTCCCTCGTGGGGCCGCCTGCTGCTGCTGTCCCTGCGCGGGCTGCAAGGGGGCTGGATGGAAAGTGGCCGGGATGTCAGCGCTGCTGGCCACAGCTCGGCTCACTGTGTGGCAGAGCCAGTCGTGAGACCTGCAGCTGCGAGTGTCTTATTTTTTGTTGCAAACAGTTACAGAGAGACAGATGAATTCCATCTGCTGGTTCATTCCCCAAGTGGCTGCAGCTGGGCTGGTTTGAAATCAGGAATTAGGAGTTTATTTCATGCAGGTGCAGGGTCCCAAGGCTTTGGGCCGTCCTCGACTGCTTTCCCAGGCCACAAGCAGGGAGCTGGATGGGAAGCAGGACCCAGAACGTGAACCAGTGCCCACATGGCATTGCAGAATGCAAACAGGGCGAGAATTTAGGCACTAGGCCTCCATGGCGTTCTGGGCCCTCCATTTCGGCTTTTTGACAAATGAAAGCAGACAAAATTTCAAACTGTTAAAATATGTCAAGAACCTTTTTTCCTGCAAGGAAAGGATTTTCAGGGCTAAAGCTGTGTTGAGAAATCCTGCCTTAGGAGCAGGGGTCAACCTAGGGCAGCGATGGGATGGAGGGAGGCTGCCTCGATGCACAGAGGGTCTGCAGGAGGGCTGGGGGCTGCACCTGCCCCTCAGCATCACCCGCTTACCCCTAGGATCACCATCAACAAGGACACCAAGGTCCCCAACGCCTGCCTTTTCACCATCAATAAGGAGGACCACACGCTGGGGAACATCATCAAGTCGTAAGTGCTGGGCTGCCTGCCCAGTGGGCAGGGCGTCGCGGCAAGGGTGACCCTACAGGGGGTGGCTCCTTCCGTCCAGCTGTCCATGGTCACGGCTGTCAGCCGACAAGTGGCCCGCTGACCAGCAGGGTCCCTCATGGGGACCTGTCCGGCTGCTGTGGAGGCCTCACCAGCAGGGCCTGGGTATTACCGAGCTCCTGCCGGGGGGATCACAACGCTGACCCTTCATTGAGGTAGCACGGAATGCAGCCTGGGCCAGGATGGCCCGCCCCCTCATCCAACAGTGCTGTGTGGCCTGGGGACGCTGGAGATTTTATCTTTATTGGAAAGGTGTATTTACAGAGGAAAGATGTCTGCTTGCTCCCTAAATGGTCACAGTGGCGGGAGCTGAGCTGATGAAGAGCCAGGAGCTTCTTCTGGGTCTCCTGTTGTGGATGCAGGGTCCCAAGGCTTTGGGACCACAAGGAGGGAGCTGGGTGGGACGTGGGGAAGCAAGGATGTGAACCAGCGCCCACGTGAGATGCCTGCTACGTGTCACACTGGCCCTGGCACTGCAGTTGTATGTGAGGATCTCTTGTTCACAGAATGCGGGAGGAGGCAGAGGCTTTGGATGAGGTGTGCAAAATCCCTGGGCAGAGTGTTGCTGTCCCTGCTAAGCCTTGGACCAGCAGGCAGGCCAGGCTGTGCTTGCTGCTCTGGCCAGCCCAGGGACTTGAGCCCTGTACACAGGCTTGTCAGCTGGAGCCTGTAGCCAGCCCTCAGAGTGAAGCCAAAGGCCATGGCGCAGCCCCTGCCCATCCCAAGCTGAGTCAGTGGCCAGTCTAGGCCCAGTGCTGCCCCTGTGGCCCCGGGCCTGTGCGGGGCAGGGCCTCCCTGGAGCTGCTCACCTTGACTGGGAGTGTGGGGCAGGGAGTGTGTGCACCTGTGACTAAATGTGGCATGCAAGCCCAGCAGTGCAGGAGCTGGCTATGCTGTGGGCTGCCCAGGGACTACCAGGGTGCCCCAAGGCCACCCCGTCAGCCCATCCTCCTGCATCTCAGGCAGCTGCTGAAGGACCCGCAGGTGCTGTTCGCCGGCTACAAGGTCCCCCACCCACTGGAGCACAAGATCATCATCCGTGTGCAGACCACGCCCGACTACAGCCCGCAGGAGGCTTTCACCAACGCTGTCACCGACCTCATCAGCGAGCTCTCCCTGCTGGAGGAGCGCTTCCGGGTGAGGGCATGGCCCAGCCAGGCCAGGGAAGTGTACCCCAGGGTTGGGTGATGGCGCCTGCCCACCCTGTGCTGTTGCCTCCAGGCTTCCGTCTGGGCCTGGGTGGGTCACGTCTGCATGGCAGGGGCCTTGGTCAGCTCGAGGCACAGCCAAGTCCACGGGTGTGTCGCAGGCCCACAACACTCCAGCCCCCATGTGGGCAGCAGCCATGTCGGCCCCACTCTATCCTGCAGGGTGTCATTGGCCAGTCCCCTGGCTGACTGTGCCTGTTTTCTCCCCACAGGTGGCCATCAAAGACAAACAGGAAGGCATTGAATAGCAGCCAGAAGGGGCTTCAGGGCGTCCTGTCCTCCTCCGGCCCATGGGGCGAGCCGTGGCACCCGTGCTCCTGTCTGGTGAGCCCCTTGCCTGGCTTTCACGTGCCTAGTACGCAGGTTCTGTTTCTCCTTCCTAATAAAGTGTGGCAGGAAGACGCGGTGTGGGCTCAGTGGTGATGCCCTGGGCAATGAGCTAGTTCAGCCACTCCGGCTGTGGCCAAGACCATTGCTGGGGCTGCTGGGAAGCCTAGTGGCTCAGGGTACACTGAGGAATGGGGTACACAGAGCTACAGGCCTCCCTCAGGCCTCTCCACAGGGAAGAATTTAATAACAAAAATAGGCATAAAAAGACCCCCCCCCCCAGTTGGCCCAAATGCTCAATAAGTTAGGTTGTATGGCTGTGGCTGGTGCGCTGTGGAGACTAGCACCTCCTCCAGATGGCCACGATGTTGGAGTCCGTCAGAGCTGTGAGGTAGCTGAAGGTGGGGTCGGCCACCACCGCGTTCACCATGGTCTTGCTCACTGCCTGCCCCTGCGCCCAGGGCTGGGGCCACTTGAGGATCTGGCCGGGAGAGACGGGGCTGAGTGCACTGCGGTGTCCCCTCCTCCCAGCCGGGGCCGTGCAGAGGCGGCTGCACCGTACCTGGCTCGGGGCTTGCGGGGCTGCTGGCTGTGCAGGCGGCTGCTTCAGGAGGTGCCCGATGTCATAGAGCCACACACTGCCCTCCTCGTCCCCACAGAACACCAGCCCCTTCTCTGCAGTGACACAGGGCACATCAGCGAGGCCAGAGCAGGGCACCCAGCCATGGGGGGGGGGGGCAGGCTCACCTGGGCAGGTGCTGAGTGAGAAGTAGGCCAGGCTGGTTGATGACCACTGCAGCCAGGCCAGGACCACCACGGGCACTGCCGAGCGGCTGCCCCTGGTGCTCCACGTCTGGCTCCAACTCCATAGGCAGATGGTGCCCAGGCTGTTCCCCTTGGAGACTGAGAGGAAGGACAGGCGTGCCCAGGCTGGCTGGCCCCACAAGCCAAGCCCCCACCTCCCAGGGAGGCACGCACCCAGCCCACTCACCCACGACATCTTCATTCACGAAGGCCAGCCCATCTACTCTCCGGCTTGAGGCCTCTGCGCCCTTGGAGAACACGAACTCCACCTCGCAGGCGCTGGGGAAGGGGCCGCAGAGGGAGACGTTGGTGCCCAGTCCTCTCAACCCAGGCCTGGGGGAGAGCTGAGCATGTGTCAGGTTACAGCTGCGTGGGGCTGGCGGGTGGACAGGGAGCAAGCAGAGGCCACGTTGCCCCTGTGGGCCTGCTGCCTGCCAGCAACTGGGGTCCTGCCCACCAGTCCTGGACACAGGCTGTGCCCTTTTGTACCTGGCAGACTTGCTGACCCCAGGCAGGGAGGCAACGGTCGGGCACAAAACTCTGCACCACAAGTCCCCCTGCTCAAAGGGGACAGCCCCCCACCTCACCCGACCCCGCGTTATCCTTCCCCTAGAGACTCTGCCTGCCAGGCGGGGTTTCCAGGATTTCAGGGGACAGAGGCACCCAAGGCTCTGCGAACCTCCCAATTCTCAGATGTTGGTCATGGCCTGTGCTATGCAGATGGGGACATTATGCCAGGACATGGGGTCACGCTGCTGCTCTACAGGGGGACCTGAACTAGCACTATGGCCTAATAGGTTAAACTTCCATCTAAGGTGTCAGTAACCCATGACCACTGGCTGCCCCACTTCCCATTCAGCTCCCTGCTTCTGGCCTGGGAAAGCAGTCGAAGACGGCCCAAGGACCTGAGACCCTGCACCCGCGTGGGAGACCATGGAGGAAGCTCCTGGTTTTGGATCAGCTCTGCCTCAGCCATTGCAGCCACTGGGGAGTAAGCCAGTGGATGAAGTTATTTCTGCCTTTCCTCCTCTCTTTATATGACTTTCCAATAAAAAAAAAAATCTTTAAAAAATAAGTGAGGTGGTTGTATGGCCTGATGGGCCCACCTTTGCCTGGCTCTCTCCCCCTCCCCCTGCAATCCTCACCGCCGCTTCTGGGGCTGGTCTAACCGCACGTCCCAGCAGCAACAGCCTCCTTCACAGCCGGCCAGCAGGTGGTTATCCGGGCACGAAGCGACAGGGCACAGGCGCAGGGGAATGGAGGTGGCGTCCAGTGTGAGCAGCTGCCTGTGGCCAGGGCAGGGGACAGTGTTAAGCTGTGCGTCTGCAGGGGAGGGGGTGCTCCTTTCCCCAACCCTGCTGCCCCCAGCGTCACCTCGCCTGGAAGTCTTGGTTATCGTCAAGAGCCCCGATGTCCCAGAGGATAATCCGTTTGTCATAGGAAGCGGCTGAGGGAGGAGACAAAAGGATAGGTGGCCCTCCGCTGTCTGGCAGTCAGCCCCAAGGCCTGCTGCAGCCCCACACTGGTACCACTGCCAGTACCACAAGCTACCTTGTGGGGTAACCACCCTGGAGGGTCGGGGGTGTCTGCCCAGATCACTGACAGAACTGGGTGACCCCAGAACAGGCCGAAGCCCTGCCCAGCCTGCAGGGGAGATGGGCGGGGCACCAGGGCAGAGCGGGCCTTACTGAAGAGGTGGCTCTCGTGAGTTGGGCTGAAGCAGAGTGTAGCGATGGCCTTCTTGTGGGCCCGGATGACCCCGCAGCAAAAGCCGGCACGCACGTGTAGCAGCCGCACCAGGCCCCGCAGGCCCGCGGCCGCCAGCACACTCCAGCGCTTCTTATGGCCTGCCTGTGTGACCACTGTCAAGGTTGTCCAGGCCACTGAGAAGAACTCCTGGGGAGCAGGGCACAACAGGGGAGGGTCACAGGGGCTCGGCCACGGGGAGGACCACACACATTCTAAGGCTGGAAGCAGAGGGGCCTGCTGTGACCCAGCCCGCACCCTCCATTCCAGGGCACCCGTCTGCTCTGCAGGGCTGGGCCTGGCGCTCACCTCGCCTGGCACCTTGTACTTGTGCAGCACGATGCCCGTCTGGCAGTCCATCACGCACACGGCCTCCCCGCCGCAGGTGGCCACGGTCTGGGACATGGCCCCTGAGGGCCCTGTGGCGAGGGGCTCAAGCTGAGCGGAAACCTCTGGCAGCTCCCGCCTCCGATGCCCTCCTGGCCTGAGGCCACGTTCTCAATTCTGTCCCCTCACTGGGCAGTATACCCTCCTAGTCAAAAGAACCGTGTTCTGGGACAGGTGTCCGGGTCTGACAGTTAAAGAAACCCATAGTTGGGGCACCTGGGTTCAAGTCCCAGCTCTGATCCTGAGGCCAGCTTCCTGCTAAGGCACACCCTGGGGTGGCAGCCCATGTGACTGGGCCCTACATTTCCTGCAGGAGAGCTGCAGGGTCCCTGGCCTGGCCTCAGCAGGGGTTGCTGGCAGCATCGGGACAGTCAGCAATAATAAAAAGCATACATCCCAGCACCACTCGCGCCCTGGACGCACCGTCCTCTGGGGCCGGCTCGAAGGCGCAGGCCCACAGCTGGGTCTGCAGGTCTCCAGGACTGTTGTTCTTGCTGTGGCACTGCAGGAAGTGCAGCGGCTCCAGCTTCAGGGCAGGCTGCAGGGGCAGAGGGCATCAGGGACTGTCCCCCTCCAGGGCCTTCCTCCTCCCTCCTCCCCCACTGTCTCGCTCTCCATCCTCCATCCCCACCAGGCCCTGGCTCCTGTGCCCCACCCTGCTCCCGACTCTGATCCCTTGTCCAGCATACCTCGCTGTCCGAACCTGCGGGGCTTCCCTCCCTCTGGGCAGACTGGGAGGCGCGTACCCGCTTGGGGGTAGGCGGGCCTGCTGGGACGTCATCTGGCCGCTTCAAGGCCGTCAGCTTGGCCTACGGAGGGGGCCTGGTGACCCAGGAGTGCCTGCCTGTGGCAGGGTGGCCTGTGCTCTCCCATGGGTGCAGGAGCCGAAGGATGGCTCAAGGTTGCAGGGGGACAGAGCTGACCCCCTTTCCGTATCTCTCCACGGCAGGAAGGGCCGGGGTTCTGGAGACCTCCCGTGTGCTGGACACATGTACCTTGGCCTTGCCAGCAGCTGCAGCTTGTGGGGGCTTTTCTGGGACGCTGTCCCCCTGTGCCCCCCAGGCGGCCACCAGGTCCTCGGAGATGATCCGCACCTGGTGTTGGAGGGGGAGGTCACCAAGAAGCTCCCAAAGCCACACACCAACCAACAGGGCCGTCTTCCCTGTCCCACCCCAGTGCCCACAGCCCTGTGTGGGGCAGCCGCACGCCATGCGAGCCAGCAAGGAGACTGGGCCAGGGGCCAGCTCGGAGAAGGGAGGACGTACCCGCCACTGGGTGAAGGCGCTGAGGGACTGGGGCCCGTAGCGGACATCCCTGACCGCAGACTTCACAAAGTCAGCCTGTACCTTCTTGGTCTCCTTGCCTGGGCCCAGGGTCTCCTTGAACTTCTCCCAGTGAGCTGTGACCTGGGGCGGGAGGGACCAAATGAAGGCAGAACCGGGCTGGGCCCTCCCAGGTGTGGCCACTTTATCCACTGCCTACTGGCAGCTGCCCCCTGCCCGCAGCCCTGTTAGCTGCAGCGTGCACACGGCCGCCTGCCACCCACCAGGGTCCCCAGCCTCACCCTGTTGGTCAGCTCGCGGTTCAGGCTCTGCACCTGAGTGCAAGTCGAGGAGGTGTCCTTGCCATTGAGCTTGCGAAGTGTGGGCAGGAGAAAGCACACTTTGAAGTTGTCACTGACCTGGGTGGGCGGCGGACAGAAGGGCGTTCTCAGGAGGCTGCAGCCTGCTCAGCCGGGGGTGGGGGGATAGGGAGAGGTGGGAGGGGGCGTCCCCCCCGGGGGCTTTTCCCCTCTACACACCGTCAGGAAAGGGTTGCCCTCCACGTAGAGCTCCTCCAGAAGCGGGAACTGGCAGAAGGCCGTGATGTCGGTCAGCTGGTTGTTGGCGCAGCGCAGCACGCGCAGGTGCACCAGGCCCAGCTCGGGCGGCAGCGTCTCCAGCTGGTTGTCGGTCAGATCGAGCTCCTGCAGCTGCTGCAGGCGGCTCAGCAGCCTGGGGTCTAGGTGCTCGGTGAGCAGCTGCAGCCCGGACAGGCTGCGGAAGGCGGGGGGCAGGCGGCGTTGGCTCGGGCGCGCACAGCTTCCCCACCCAGTACGTTAAGCTCGCAGCCGACATGGCGCTCCCCGGGGCTGTCCCCCTGCTCCAGGACGGGTCTCCCCGCCATGTCCCGAGGGGCTCTAGCGAGCCCCAACAGGTGGCTCCAACCAAAACAGTAACCCTCGCAGCCCGCTTTCTCCGGGGCTGCGGCCGCGCGCATCCCTGCCGCGGGAACCGTTTGGCGGGAACGGCCGCCCAGCGCCTCCGCCCGGGAGCAGGGGAGCTAACCGGCGCCTCCGGCTCGCAGACCCCGACCCAGGGCAAGCAGGGGACCCGGCCCGCCTCCGGCGGCCACAGCCTCGGCCCGACCAGCCTCCACCCGCCCTCGGTCCCCTTCTCACTCCAGGCTCCGGATCCTCCCCAGTCGGTCGCTCTTGGGTCTTCCACGCTGCAAGAGAAGGCGCGTCGAGAGGGGCGCCATGACGCTCCCGGGGTAGCCAGAAAGCCAGAGCCCGGGAGGCGTTGCCGACCGAGTTCCCTAAGGCGGCGCAGGCAGCCGCGACCGGAAGGAAGCGCGGCCGAGAGCCTCGTGTCCCCAGCGCGCGGACTACAACTCCCGGCGGCCCCCGGGGCTCCGCGCCTGCGTCCTGGCCAGCGCGATGGCGACCGCGGCGGCGGCGGCGGCCGAAGCCCCCGAGCCGCTGCGGGAATGCGGCTGCAAGGGCATCCGGACCTGTCTGATCTGCGAACGGCAGCGCGGTGGGTTCCCGCCCTGGCAGCTCTTCCCGCAGGTAGGGGCTGGGAGAGGAGCCGCGCCCCTCAAACCCGCCCTGCGTAATGGGGAGGCTGAGGCCGCCACCATTTATCCGGGATGGAAGCCCGACTGGGGACAGGTGCGCGCGCCCGGGGGAAGGCGCCGTGATGTCCCGGGTGAGGGGCAAGAGCCTGACCGCTGGACGGAGAGCGCGCCTGGAGGTCAAATGTGGATCTTTATGAAGGAAGGGAGGCTGGGAAGCCGGTGGACAATACTGCACCCCATGAGCAGGGCACAAGTGGCGCGACTGCCACCGTGAGCCCCCAGCCCCCAGCCTGGGCTCTAGACACCCCCGGAGCATGGAGGACGCTGTGTCGAGGTCAGGAAGAGGGAAGTCAGCCCAGGTGTGCGAGCAAGGAGGCGTGGCCAGGCGCGGTGTCCTGGGCTCCATGCGGGGCATGGGTGGTCAGCTTTAGGGAGGACCAGCATTGTGACTCTCGGGTGCAACATGAGAACCTTGGGTCCTTGGGTCGTGGCACAGGAGCTGGGGCCCAAAAGACGCAGCGAGCGGTTCAAGGCCTCGGCGGGGGTCGGAGTGAGTCGGGGTCCAGGGCCAGGCATAGCTTCTTCCCTTCCCAGTCGGGGAGAACCTGTGCGGCCTGTGGGGAGGGGCGGTGCAGGTGACAGAGCAGAGGGGGCTCCTGGGCAGGATGGGGGGGCTCCAGCGAGCATCCATCTGACAGAGTAGGGTTCCCCCAGACATCCTTGGAGGGGCGTGAGGCTGGTGGGGTTTGGGGTGAGGGGGCAGCCTGGGGCTCCCTGGAAGCAAACGCTGGAGGCGATGGGCGCGGACCACTAACCGGAAGAGCCATCTCGGCGCAGGCAGAGGATGCTGCTCTCCCCTTCTGCCTTCCTGAGGCTGTGCTGCCATGGCAACAGCGAGCACATGGCCGGCTGGCTGGCTGCCCGCCTCTGGCCTTCAGGAGGCACTTGGCTCGGGATGGAGAGGCAGGACTGTCCGGGCTTCCAGACCCGGAGGAGGGGAGACGGCCTGTGACCCCCCACTCCCACCTCCCACCTGCAGAGAACACAGCAGTTCCTGTACTGCCCAGACACCGGCTGGGCCGTGGGGGCCACCGACTCGGACTTCGAGGGCTGGGCCTTCCCCTTCCCCGGGGTGACGCTCATTGAAGACTTCGTGACCCGGGATGAGGAGGCCGAGATGGTTCGGCTGATGGACCGGGACCCCTGGAAGCTCTCCCAGTCGGGACGCAGGAAACAGGTGCGCTCTGGGGCGGGGGGTGGTGTGTGTTGGGGGGTGCTGAGAACCTCTGCCCCTCACTCCTGCTGCCCCTCGTGGCTGGTCCTGAGACACACTGGGCTGCCCCTCACATTATCACACACTGCCAACTCATACCACGGCTGGGCAAGGGCCACAGTCAGCACTGGAAGGGGCAGGGGGCCGAGGCTAGGGGTGCTGCTGCAGCAGGAGTGAGCTCCAGGGTCCTGGGACCCAAGCAGCTGTCCCCACCTCTGCCTGCCTGGGCTTCTGCCCACCCTGCAGTGCAGCGGCTTCCTCAGGAGGGCCACTCGCCCCGCGGTCTGGGTCACCTGGGCCACCTCTGTCCCTTGCTGAGCCCTGCCCTTCTCCCTCCATTCAGGGACTTCTGCCACACTCAGCCGCCTGCCCCCTTTCTGTCCCCCGCCCCCTTGCAGGACTACGGCCCCAAGGTCAACTTCCGGAAGCAGAAGCTCAAGCCTGCGGGTTTCTGCGGCCTCCCGGACTACAGCCGCGAGGTGGTGCGCAGGATGGGCCTGTACCCGGGCCTGGAGAGCTTCCGGCCGGTGGAGCAGTGCAACCTGGACTACTGCCCCGAGCGGGGCTCGGCCATAGACCCGCACCTGGACGACGCCTGGCTCTGGGGCGAGCGCCTGGTGAGCCTCAACCTGCTCTCGGCCACCGTGCTGTCCCTGTGCCGCGAGGCGCCCGGCAGCCTGCTGCTTGGCCCGGCCCCGGCCGCCGGCCCCGAGGCGCCCACCGACAGCCTCATTGCCCCCAGCCGCTCGGTGCCGTGCCAGGAGGTGGAGGTGGCCGTGGCCCTGCCCCGCCGCTCCCTGCTGGTGCTCACGGGCGCTGCGCGGCACCAGTGGCAGCACGCCATCCACCGCAGGCACATTGAGGCCCGCCGCGTGTGTGCCACCTTCAGGGAGCTGGCTGCCGAGTTCCGGCCCGGTGGGCGGCAGCAGGAACTGGGCCAGGAACTGCTGGGCCTCGCGCTGTCCTTCCAGGGCAGGCCTGTGTGAGCCGCTGCCACCCTGCTACCGCATCAGCGCTGTTTGGGAGGGCCGTGCTCACCTGAGTTCACAGAGTGTTGGTTCCACTTCCTCTGCCCCTTCCGTGCCCTGATCCAGGATTCGCCCCTGCTGCCGCACGAGCTGCTGTAGGAGCTGACACTGTGGAGCTTAGCCTGGGTCGGGCCGCCCTCCTCACCGGCTTGCTGTGAAAAAGAAACCTCCCCTCCCAGGAAACTGCGAGGCTGTCCACTTTGTGGGGTGCTTGCCTGGGCAGGCCTGGGAGGTTGAAGGGATGTGGCTGGCCAGCCCTCCCTGTGGCTGCCCCCAGGGTGGGCTCACCACCCCCTGGGGGATCAGGGCCTGGTCTCTGCCGCTGGGATCTGGCTGGGGGTTGCTGCAACCCAGCTTTGGGGCTTTGATGTGGGGAGCATCTGGGGGGCTGCCGATGGGAAGGATGCCTGGGTTTCTGGTGGCTGGGTGACAGACACCACCTCTCTGTGGGACCCTAAGGACAGAGGCAGGCCGCTCCCAGGGCTCTGGGTCTCTCCCTGCTGCATAGGGTACGGGATGGGGGAGGGTTGGTGAGCAGTTGAAATGCTGTGCCAAGGTAGGGCCGACTGGCCCCTCGGCGACCTGCAGGACACGTGGAGGGAGTCACTGTGGTCTGTAGCAGCCCCAGGCCTCTAGGCCACCCCGTATCCCTGCACCCCACACTCCATACCATGGGAACTGCTGCTTTGTGCACTGACCCCTGGGAATCTCTAGGCTGGACGTGCCGGACAGCTCCTCTCTGGCACAGCAGGGGCTTCCTTGTGGCCCTAGAGGTGGCTGCCATGTAGACAGCCTGGACACTGGCCCCATGACCACAGGGACCCGAGCTTGAGTGCCTTCCCTCCCGGAGGCCTCCAGGACCTTCTGAGTGTGTCGGATGGACTGCCCACATGTGGCTACTGCTCCAGTTCTGTGTTGTTGGCTGTGCCCTGCACCAGGGGTGTCTCCATTCCCTCGGTGGGGGGGGCTGATGCTGGCAGCTCACAGCCCATCTGAGCCCACCTGCCCCTGCTGGGGAGAAGCCTGCGTCACCCCACCAGGGCAGCGACAGGTGATGGGCTCACGCACCAGGGGGAGGGCCAGTGGCTGCCACACGTGCCCTGCCCTGCCCTGGTGGCGTCCCAGTAGCATAAAGAACCCCAAGTATCTTTCACTAATTTATTCAGCTCCATCCAGGGCCGGTGTTTCAGAGGCCCACCCTGTGGGATCAACAGGGGTCGTGTGAATGGCTGGTGCAGGCAGTGGCCACAGATGGTCCTCCATGGTCTGTCCACTGCCGGCCTTCTGACTTGGCCGTTTCTAAAAGACAAACCCATGCCTTCTAGGGCGTGTGAGTGTAGCAGGGTGCACGCTCTGACAGTGCCAGCAGCTTTTCCTTGTGGCCTTCCTCGGCCTGCTGCACCTTGGCACACTGTTAACCCAGGCTAGACTCCAGGAAGCAACTATGAAGGCTGTGGTTTGCTGCCCTCTGCTCCTCCCCACCTCCACTTGCCAGGTGGCTCCCGCATCTCCCACCAGGCTCTGGCTGTGCCCAGGCCTTGGCAGGGCAAGCTCGTTAACTCAGATGCACCTTATCAGGAAGGTACGTGCAAGGAGCCAGCATGTGGCTGGCAGATATCTGCAGGGGACATGGCATGGGAAGGCAGAGCTGGACCTGGTCACACAAGACAGACCCTGGGCCCTGACCCACTGCCCCAGGTCCTCCACACAGGTCCCCCAGGTCCTTGCCATGGCTGACACAGTCCAGGCGCTACTGTGTGTGGTCAAGACAGAGCCACTGCACCGTGGGACCCTTCCCACCCTGTGGCCAAGGTGTCTGGTGGACATCTGATGGTGGATGCCCAGACATGCCTGCCTGGCCCTGGGGACAGTCCCTCGGGCTGCTTTGCCACACTGACGTATGCCATACAGGCTCTGGCTTCATGCCATCAGCCAGGTTACCTGGCTCTTCCCAGGGCTGGGAGGGTAGCACCATGCCGTGTTGTTCCTGTGTCCCGTCATGTTGCTGTAGTTCCACTGGACACGCTGCCCATCAGCTGCCAAGCCTGGCTGGGGCAGCTCCTCTGCACTCAAGCCCTGCTCCTGGGTCTTTGCAATGCCCTTGCCTGACCAATGCTGCCAGGAAACCTACCTGGGAGCGAGGCTCAAACTACAGCTGCCTAAACTGGAACCTCCTGATTCAGCCCGAGCGCACTGGCCACAGTCTCGCACCTTGCCGGAGTTCCACTTTTGCCAGGGCAGCACCAGGTGATCACAGTATTCGGGTGGGAGGCCAGCTGTGGTCCTGGGCTGCCTGGCGGGGCCCTGCCAGCAGTCACACCACCTGCAGGCTGCGTTCGTGCCCGTCCAGCTGCACCTTGAGCTTGTGCAGTTCCTCGATCTCGCGGTTGTGGCGCTCTGTCTTGTGGCGCACCAGCGAGCGGTAGAAGTGCATGGTGAAGACCACGAAGATGAGGCCCACAGGCACCATGATGATGGTGGACACCAGAGCCGCCTGCCAGCCAGTGTGGCCACCGGGGCCCGGCAGGGGGCCGGCCTGGGGCCGCGCGTCCACAGGCAGGAACTTGATCCAGCACAGCAGCACCACCTCAGCCAGGAAGAGCAGGATGCCGAGCACGGTGGAGAAGCCCCAGGCCAGCTCAATGTAGGGGTGCATGCGTTCGTGCGGGGACTCGCTGATGGAATTGAGGTTGTGGATGTTACTCACGGCCTCCACGTTGGGCAGGATGCAGGTGCTGATGAGCAGCGCGAACAGGTGCACAGCCACCAGCACCGTGGTGCAGGCGCTGAAGGCGATGAGCAGCGGCCGTGGGTACTGGTACTGTGTCTCCAGCTGCACCTCCACCATGGCCACCTGCAGGACAGAGGGGCTGGGCTGGGCTGAAGCCTCAAGAGGGTACTACTTTTTTTTTTTTAAGAAGATGTGTTTATTTGAAAGGCATAGCAACAGGGAGGGAGGAAAGAAACAGAATGTCCCCCTGCTAGTTCACATTCCAAGTGGCCACTTCAACCAGGTTAGGGCCAGGCCGAAGCCAGGAGACAAGAGCTCGAACCTGGTCTCCCACATGGGTGCTAGGGGACCTGCTACCTTCCAGGCACATAAGCAGGGAGCTGGGGCAGGGAAGCAGCAAGACTCAAACCTGGCATTCTCATGGGATATTGGGATGAGGGCTGCCAGCTTTGCCTATTGTACCACCTTGCCAGTCCCTGGCTGTTCAAATGTTTCAGGGGTGAGCATTGTGATGCAATAGGTTAAACTTCGGCCTGCAGTGCCAGTATACTGAATGGGTACTGGTTTGAGTTCTGGCTACTCCACGTGTGATCCAGCTCCCTGCTAATGGGCTGCGGACGCAGCAGAGGATGGCCCAAGGGTTTGAGACCCTGCACTCACATGGGAGACCATTCCTTTCTGGGTGCTTCTGGTCCCACTCTGCACTGTACTCCCAGAGTGCATCCTAGGGGGCAACAGGTTAACGGCTCAGGGATGTGGTCTCCCCACACGGAGACCAGGATGGAGTTCGGGGTTCCTGGCCTCAGCCCAGCCTCTGGCTGCTGCAGCAGATGAGACATTTCCGTCCAGCCCTCCCAGGCTCTCCACATCCCACCCTCTCATCAACCCAATGGCGCCCTCCCAATCCACCACCCCACCCTGGCACCGGGGATTGTCCCCACGAGGGCCTACACCAGGCCCATGAATGTTCCAGCAGCCACTGCCTAGTGCTCGTAAGGTAGGATCCAGAATGGTCGAGCAAGGGCGCAGGAGAGGCCGGCTGCTCAGCCTCGCACTGCATCGGGCCATGGCCACGCGGGAGAATGGGACTACCTCTGACCTCCGACCCTGGCCCCCGCCAGCAGGTCCCGGGAGGCCAGGAGTGGCTCCAGTCCTTGGGTCCCTGCCACCCACCTGGCAAACCTGACCTGTGCTCCTGGCTCCCACTTCACCCACGGTCCCATACTGGCCACTGCAGGCATGTAGGGAGCGAACCAGCACACAGAACTTCTCTCATTTCTCTTTCTCTCTAATCCTTAAATAGTTTTTTGTTTTGTTTTGTAAAAGAAGGTAGAGGATTTCTACCACTGTTTTTTTGCCTAACAGATCTGACCCATCCCTGGTTTTTAAAAAAGAATATTTATTTTTATTGGAAAGGCAGATATACAGAGAGGAGGAGAGACAAAGGAAGAATCTCTGTCCACTGATTCACTCCACAAGTGGCCACAATGGCTAGAGCTGAGTCAATCTGAAGCCAGGAGCCAGGAATTTCTTCTGAGTCTCCCACACGGGTGCAGGGTCCCAAGGCTTTGGGCTGTCCCCCACTGCTTTCCCAAGCCACAAGCAGGGAGCTGGATGGGAAGCGGGGCTATTGGGATTACAACTGGTGCCCATATGGGATCCCAGTGTGTTCAAGGCAAGGACTTTAGCCAATATGCTATCGTATTGGGCCCCATCCCTGATTTTGTACAAAAACTGAGGAAGGGGTGTGTGTTGAACGTAGCAGTTAACGCTGTGTAGGCTGCTGTGTCCCCAACTCGGAGTACCTGTGTTCAAGTCCCTATTCTGCCTGCACCTGCCTGCCAGCTCTCTGCCAGTGTGTACCTGGGGCCAGGCACTTGGTCCTTGTCCCACTCTCAGGGGGCTTGGAGTGGGTCCCGGGCTCCCAGCAGAAGCCTTGCTGCTCCCTGTTGGCCCACCGCCCCTCCCTGTGCAGGGTGTAGCCCTGGATGTTGCAGGCATTTAGGGAGTGAAACAGCAGATGAGAGAGCTCTGGTCTCTTTCTGCCTTTCAAATACATAAAAATTTAGAATAGAACAAGCTGCCATCTACTTAAAAAAATAGGAGTCAGTGACAAAGTGACTCCTTCACAACTTCCTTCAGCAATTACCCTCCTGGGAGGGAGGGACCCAGCCCCGCACCTTGCCTGGGCTGCTGACCAAACTGGTGAATGGCAAAGCACATCGTGTTCTTGGGGGACCAGAGCCCCAGAAACAGCTCAGCAGCCATAAGGGCTGGGGCCTTAGAGAAAAGCCAAGAACACACAGGTGCGTCATGTTCGCAGCACAGTGGGCTAGGCTGCCCGTTGTGATGCCGGCCTCCCCATAACATGGCACTGGTTTCAGTCCTGGCAGATCTGCTTCCAATCCAGCTCCCTGTCCTCTGCCTGGGGAGGCAGCAGATGAGAGCCCGCATGTCTGGGCCGCTGCCACCCACGTCGGGGAGCTGGACATGGCCCAGCCCTGGTTGTTGCTGCAGCTATCTGTAAGAGGAACCAGCACATTCACTATCTAAGCTCCTCCCTTCTGCTCTTTCATATAAATATTTCAATCTCTAAAACAGCAGAAAGCAAAGAGCAGCTGCCTGACACTGGCTAAGGGTGGGTGTCCTTCCACGGATCCCACGGGGCCCTGCAGTGCCGGCTGGCACACCATGGATGGGGCCCGAGGCAAGGTGCTGTCAGCTACTCAGCACTTTGGGATTACAAGGCAAGAGGCAGGGACGCGAGAGCCTGTAGAGGCACACAGCCAGATGGTGGGTGTGCCTGTGCCCACGCAGACCGGTGGCCCTGGAGGAACTGTGCTGCTGTGGCAAGGGAAGGATCTGGGGTGGGTGGTGCCCTGGGCTGGCGCCCACACTCACTGTCCAGCTGACACAAAGAGGGGCCCGGCAGGGCAAGCTGGCTGGCTATGCTCTGACCAAAGTCCTGCAAGCACGCAGCAGTGGTTTCCTTTTGTCAATACGTATTTACCATTTATTTGAAAGACAGAGTTGGAGATGGATCTCCCATCCATCTGCTGGCTCTCTCCCCAAATGGCAGCAAAAGCTGAGGTTGGAGCAGGCCGAAGCCAGGAGCCAGGAACTTTTTCCAGGTCTCCCATGGGGGTACAGGGCCCCAAGCCCTTGGGCCAGCCTCTGTTGCTTTCCCAGGTTATTAGCAGGGAGCTGGATGAGAAGTGGAGCAGCCGAGACTTGAACAGGAGACCTGTGTTGGATGCTGGTGCTGCAGCTGGCAGCCTTGCCTGCAGCAGTCTGATGATGTGCATCTGTCACTAATGTTCCCCATTCACAGACTGAATGACACCTGAGTTGGCAAAGGACTGTTCACACAGCAGGTGCAGATATGCTGGCTTCTAGAAGAGGGCAAGAGGTCTGGGACTTCTCCAAGCTGCTGGTGCCAAGGATACACCAGTAACACGGGAAAGAAAAGAGGGCCTGGCACGATAGCATGTTGGCTAAAGTCCTCACCTTGAACACACCGGGATCCCTATGGATGCTGGTTCTAATCCTGGAAGCTCCACTTCCCATCCAGCTCCCTGTTTGTGGCCTATGAAAACAGTGGGGGACAGCCCAAAGCCTTGGGACCCTGCACCCGTGTGGAAGACCTGGAAGAGGCTCCTGGCTTCAGATTGGCTCAGTTCCAGCTGTTGCGGCCGCTTGGGTAGCAAACCATCGGATGGAAGATCTTCTGTTTCTCTCCTCCTCTCTGCTGTATATCTGCCTTTCCAATTGAAAAAAAAAGAAAGAATAAGCCTGGACAGGGTGCAGTGCAACGGCTCAGCAGCTAAATCCTCACCTTTCAAGCACCAGGATCCCATGTGGGCACCAGTTTGTGTCCTGGTTGCTCCACTTTCCTTCCAGCTCCCTGCTTGTGGCCTGAGAAAGCAGCTGAGGACAGCCCAGAGCCTCAGGACCCTGCATCTGTGTGGGAGACCCAGAGGAAGTTCCTGCCTCCTGGCTTCAGATCATCTCAGACTACTGAAGCCATTTGGGGAGTGAACCAAAGGATGGAAGGAAGATCTTGTTCTGTCTCTCCTTCTCTTTGACAATCTGCCTTTCCAATAAAATAAAAACATTTAAATATATATATAATAGGCTGCTGGGGAAAACATTGTTGTGGTTTTTAGGTTCCATTTTATTTATTTACCTGAGATAGTGCGGGCCCCTAGCCCCTGGTTCACTCCCACATGCCCACGATGGGCAGGGCTGGGCCAGAGGGCCCCAGGAAGCAGGACCTCTGAGGCGGGGGGGGGGGGGAGGCTTCCCGTGTGGTTGGTCATGGCTGCTGCCAGGGAGCTGCAGTCAGAAGACCACGCTGGGACCAGGCCTTGGCTCCCCTGAGGATTCTGGGAGGGGACACAGGCGTGGACTAGGGCCTTAGCTGCTGGGCTCAACTCCCACCCTGTTCGTTTGAACATGGTGCAGACCACAGGTGGAACCAAAGTCACGCACCACATGATTATATGCAGTGGTAATCACATTTAAAACAAAAAAGCCTTTGCTTTCAACTACAGACCTAAAGGCAAATGCACCGCCCTCCAGCTTATGCGGCCGGTCCTGGCTTGCCCTCTGACCACAGAGAACCTCATTTTTCTGAGGGCGGCCAATCCCGGTGACGCAGCAGGATCTGAGGGCCCCAAGGGTGTGGCCTCTGTCCCTAAATTGCACTACCTGTGCTATGAGGGTGCAGAGGCAAGCCCGTGTGGCCCCTCTGAACACGCCATCCCAGGGTGGAGTGGCGGTCCTGACACCTGCACCTCCTACCCAGGGATGTGGAGATAAACCCTGGCCCACACTGCCTCTTGTCCTGGGGGACAGCATAGAGGGAAGGCAGGAGTTAGGGGGCCAGCCAGGTATGCCAGTCTGCCACCCTGCAGGGCCACTAATCCCAGCTGACCCCTCATTTCCTGCTCAAACCCCTCAAAATTCCAAACATGGGGTGTCCCTGAGATCAGGTAGCTGTAGGCCCTCCCATGCTCCTGGCCGAGCAGAGTGAGGCTCGCTGGGCCTTGGAGCCCCGGGGGTCCCTCCCACCAGCCTCTTAGGAACAAAGCTGTCTTCTAAGATCATCCCTGAAGTGCACACCAGTCATGGGGCTGGCATGGCTGGCAGGGCAGCTCCTGTACTCACCATGGCAAAGCCAGAGAGGAGGGCTGAGGTCCGGCTGGAGGCCTTCAACTTGGCCCTGCTCAGGTACAGCTTCCTCCAGGACAGTGCCTGCACTGAGTGGTGGTTGGAGGTGACCAGTTCCAGGTAGCTGCGGCGGACCCAGTCCCGGTAATCCATGCCCTTGTGGCCGGGCTCAGAGCAGGCCGGGGTGGAGGGGTCCGCAGGCACGCTGAGCTCAGCGCTCATGGTGGGAGCCAGGCTGTGAGGGGAGGGAGACATGTTCAGACAGCCTGAAGGGGGATCCAGCCCACCTGGCCTTGGGCAGGCGGGGTCTGCTATGCACACGGCTGGGTCACAGGTGGCATGGCTCCCTTCCGTGGGCCCCAAGCTCTCCCTGTGCCCATCTTGCATCTGCCACCTGCTGCTCAGGGAGGCTGCGGGAGTGTAGTGGAATCCTCAGGCCCGCCCTGCCTGCAGGAGGAGCGGGCTGGAGGGATGATCTTCACGGTACAAAACCAACATATGACTCACAGCATAGCCCCAAATTTCATGCTGATCTTCTCCAGAAAGGGGGCAGTGCTTCCCACAGGACCACTGGCCCAGGTCGTGCCCCAGGCGTTTGCAAAGAGCTGCTCCAGCCCCATAGATTCTAATCTGCACAGTTCCTGCTAAGCACTTGAGTTTATGCAACTCAGGCCCAGCCCCTTGTCAGCTGCAGTGGAAACCTGTTGAAAATGAGAAAGGAGGGCCCGGCGGCATGGCTTAGCGGCTAAAGTCCTCACCTTGAACACACCGGGATCCCATATGGGTGCCGGTTCTAATCCCGGCAGCTCCACTTCCCATCCAGCTCCCTACTTGTGGCCTGGGAAAGCAGTGGAGGATGGCCCAAAGCCTTGGGACCCTGCACCCGTGTGGGATACCCGGAAGAAGTTCCTGGCTCCTGGCTTTGGACCAGCATAGCATCAGCTGTTGTGCTCACTTGGGGAGTGAATCATTGGATGGAAGATCTTCCTCTCTGTCTCTCCTCCTCTCTGTATATCTGACTTTCCAATAAATAAATAAATAAATCTTAAAAAAAAAAAGAAAGAAAATCAGAAAGGAAACCCACCAACTGGCATGTGTCCACTTGAGGGGACTAAGGGCTTGGGGTTCCTGGGTCCTCTGCTGGCAGACACCTGGGTGGATAACGGCACTGACCAATTGTCAGCAGGACTTGGGAGAATTCAGACCTACATCTCCACCAATGCATGTGGGGATGGGCCACATCCTATGACCCCCAGAGCCAGCCTGGGTGGCCACACTTCAGGACTAATTAACCCACAGAGCTGCCCAAAGGCACAGGCACCTTGCAGTTCATTTGGCCTCAGGGGTCCCCTGGGAGCCCACTTGAGGCACTGCTTCTGATTAACTGGGTGTTTCTGGTGCCAAGGAGTAAGGCTGGGGGTGAGTGGGTAGCTAAAGACAGCAGCTGGGAGGTGCCCACTCTGGAAGGGCCAGACAGGACGCTGGATGCTGTAGGTGGGAAGCTCAACGCACTATCTGATCTCTCAGCCAGGCCACAGAGTCGCCAGGGCTGCCAACTTGGGTGCCTGGATGCATCTCCCCACCCACGCCTGCAGCCAGCAAACACTGCATCACGGGAACCGCCCTTGGAGAAACGTCACAGAAACACAGCTAATCTGTCAGCTGGTTAGTGCCAAATGACTGGAAACATCACCAAGGAGGAAAGACACTTAATTCTCCCTCTTCTCCCTGGGTGTGTGATGGAGCTGGGCCTGCAGGGATCACAGAGACCTGAGGCAGCATGTGGCAGACAGAGGCTCCTTCTGGGTCTCCATGGCATCTGGCTCCCAGGACGGGGCACCTGAGATGGACGCTGCCCAGTGAGGACAGTGACAAAGGGGCAACTGGCAGCTGGGGAGCTGAGCGCTGCAGTGATGGGCCAGGGCAGAAGGGGGGCAGGTACTATAAGGGACAGAGTTGGGGAAGACTAGGTGAGCCGAGATCACCCTCAAAGGCCTGCGGCTACCCACGTGGAGGAACCCAAGGGGCAGAAAGGCAGCTAGTTGCAGGCACAGGTGTAGGATGGCCACCATGGCATTCCAGAGGGCATGGGGAGCTGTGTATAGAAGCCCCTCAGAGACAGGGTCACAGTGCCAGGCAGGCATGAGGAAAGAGTGCATGGGAGCAGAATGGGTTTTGCTGGGCCAAGGGACACAGGCCAATGCAGAGAAGGACCCGTGGCTTCCACAGTCGGGGGATGCATGGGGTGACAGAGAGAGTGGCTCAGAGACCAGCAGGGAGCCAGGCCAGGTGCCAACCTGAAACTGGAGGTCTGAGGACAGCCTCCCATAGTGGCCAGGGCCCAGTAGATGTCTAAGGATGGGATGGGGTGGCAGGAATGAAGATAAAGAAGCCACTTCCTCCAGGATGGGATTCACAGCCGGGGCGGGGCCTGGGTCCGAGCCCTATTGGGGAGCAGTGGCTGACCCCCACACTGCAGCTAATGCTGGGGCCTGAAGGGCACCATGGAACCCACATCTCTGCCAGGTGGCACCTGTGCCAAAGATGTGCCCCTGGCCAGCCGGCTGCCCCGGGGCCACTGTGTGTGGCCTGCCGGGCAGGGCGCCGGCCCACACATACAGGCCTGCCGAGGGTTTCCACCGGCAGGTTTCCGAGTCTGACTTCCTCTAAACATCTGGGGCACAGGCAACAGCGAGTGGCTCATCACACAGGGGGGAGGGGGGGCGGGGGGCGGGGGGGGGTCCGCCCGCACCTCTGAGGCAGCCCTAGGGACCGCAGGTGGACCCCCCAGCCTCCAGTCCTCTCGGTGGCATCCCGCCAGGGATCCCCCACCAAGGATTACCTGGTCCAACCCCCATCACCCTGCCCAGCAGCCAGCCTCTTCTCCTTCCGCCCATCTTGAGGCGGCTCCTGAGAGAAGTCACCATCCCCTCAGCCAAGGGTCCTTGCTCCAATTCCACCTTAACTGCGTGTGGATTGTTTCCTTCAACCCCCGCGCTTCCCCTCCCCGAATCCTCCGCTCCGAGGGTGGGCGCGCACCCTCTGCTAGCACTCACCGGAGCGGCCCTGGCTCCCTGCAGGCGGCCGTGGGGTGGCTCCGCGGCCGTGTGGCCTTGTGGCCGGGGCGCTGAGCGCGGCCCCCTCCCTCCTTCCGCCCGGCCCGCAGGGTCCCCCCGGGCCCCGCCTGCGCCGGCCCCGCCCCCGCAGGCCAGGCCGCTGCAGTGGCTGCCAAGGCAACGGCGCGCGCCACCACGTGACCCGCCTCGTGGGGTGCGGCGGGCCACGTGACCTCCAGGAGGGGAGGGAAGGTATCTGTGGTCCTAAAGAGGGGGTCCCTGCCCCTCACTGGGACCCTCCTCGGGCCTGGCAGTGTGCATCGCCCCCGGATGCACAGCAATTCCGGTTCCGCAGTGGTGCATGGGGGGACGAGGCAAGCCTGAGTCCTGAGCCCGGGCTGCCACCACAGACCCCAAGCTGGGTTTTCCCTGACAAGCAGCCAGCAGAGCAGGGCCATGGCAGCTCCGCCTGAGGTGGGTCTGAGTGCGGCACAGCTCTGGGGTTCCTGGGGTTCGCCTCGGAGGATGCCAGCATCTCTTCTTGGCCACGTGGGAGGTGCGTAGGTGGAGCAGGGCGTGAGGGGGTCAGAACCGGTAAAGGGCTGGAAGGAGAGGCCCTGGCTGACCACGCCCGAGTTTGCCCAGGGCGTACCACATCTCCCGGCCGCAGTGTGTATGGAAGTGGCTGGCGAGGCGAAGGGTGTCATCTAGCACCCACCCCCCACTCCTTTGCAGCTCAGGTTGGGCAGAGGAGCCCAGTACCTTTTCCGTTGCTGCTGCTGCGAGGCACCTGTCACCCTTGATGAACTCTGCGGTTTTACCAGTGAGCTACTCCAACAGGAAGTGCACACGAATAATTCCCCCAGCAGTGCTGTGGGTTCATGTCAGTCTGCCGGTGCCAGACGGCCCCATGGAGCCCTCCCTGAGTGCCTGGTAGGCTGCCGTGTGCCCTACATAGCATTTTTCCATCTGTCCCAACAGCGTCGGACTGTGACACACTTATCAAGTGGAAGAACAAGTCTGCTCGTGTCTGCCAGTCCAGGTTCTGACACCTGGAAGAACCCAAGGGGACCTTTTCATCCAGGGGCCCTCCTCCCCCCCTTCGGGTCACCCCATGGGAGCCTAACTCCTGCTGCAGGGGCAGAGTCTGTCAGAAGGCTGTTACCTTCCAAAGCTCAGGCTCCCGGCAAGGCGGCCCAGGGACGGGCAGGAAGCACTGTGTGTGCTCCCCCCGGTCACTGACTCAGGCTAGAATGCTTGCTGGCTCCCGTCTCCCACCCGGCGGCTCAGAAGGCTCTCTGCGCTGGCGCGTGTCTCCTCCAGCCCCTGCCAATTGTTCCACAAGCCCAGACAGTGCCCAGAGCCAGTGTGCCAACCAAACATGCTTAACATGAACTGTTTCCTACTGTGGCATGCTGTGATGGAGGGAGATGGGACAGTGGTCAGGGTAGTCAGCGTGCATGCCGACTGGCCCCAGGGGTAGAGTGAAGACTCCCTGGAGGCAGGGCGTCCCTGGAGGCCACAGCTATGCACCCTCTGAACCCCACCAATGTGTGGAAAGTCTGCTGAGCGCAGTCACCTCGCTGCCCTGCTTCCTCTTTGCCCCAGGCCAATCCCCTCAGCCCTGCACTCCCAGGACTGAGCCCTTGCCATCCCCCAGCGGCAGCCCATCTGGGAAAAGCCCACCTCTGGCCCCTTTTCCCCCACTCCTCCTCCTCAACTCTGCAGAGACCCCCTTACCCCTGACAGCCAGACCTCCTGAAGAGACTCCTACTTCTGACTCATCCTTCCAGAGCACAGCCTGGCTCCATTACCCCTTCATGCCTGTGGTCCATTGCCATCAGCCCAACCACACAGCTCAGCCCAAAGGGTGTGTCAGCCCGCCCTGAGGCAATGTCCCATCATCCACCTGGCTGGCGACATCAATCTAGTGCCCCCTCACCAAGGCCATCACCATGCCCAGCTGCTCCCTTTCAGCTGTGCTGGTGGCAGCTCACCATCCTGCTACTCACATGGCCCTACCCTGCCCACACCCAAAGCCTGGATCAGTGTCCAGGCAATGTATGGAGTGCACCCCACTGAGTCCTGCTCCCCACCATCCCTGGCCACCAGTGCTGGCTTTGGGATTCCCACGGGTTCAGCACTTAGACCTGCCCAGTACCTTTTACACAAGCAGCCTCCCAGGGCCTGTGGCAGGCCGGTTTTCCAAAGCACATGCTTTACTGCAATCTGTTAACATGTGTGATTGTAGCTCACCGGAGCCAAGTCTGCTGGACAGTAAACACACAGTACCTACCGGAGGGGAGGCAGAGAAAGAGCTGGCCAGGAACCGGACAGGGCTAGCCTAGCTCCCGCTGAGGAATCCGGGGGTCCTCTCCCTCCCGCACACCTGCTCCTGAAAACAGAGAAGTAAACGTAGCATCACCACGGTGCGTCCTGGGCGGTGGGTATGGAGGGTGTTTACAATGAGCTGTAAACACTGTTAGAACTTCCCCGTGGGCACTTAGTCACCCGAATTCGCAACCACAGGGAGACAGTGGCAGAGTGGCTCTGCGCAGGTACCAGGGAATATGAGCAAGGTCCAATCTTCATGGAGTTAAGGCTCTGTGCAGGGTGTGGGTGCTGGGGTGGCATGAGGTGGCGACTGTGTGACAGGTGCCAGGACCCCAGGGGCAGAGGGAAGGCTCCCTGAAGGCAGGGCATCCAAGCTGTAACCCAGGAATGAAGGTGGTCTGGCACCAGGGAGGGCGCAGGCCACTGTAGCTGCTACTTTGTTCCAAGGGTGGGGCAAGTCACTGGGGACTTGGCCCTCACAGGGTCACTGCTGTGTGTAGGACAGACTGGGGGTAGGCCTGAGCAGGGTGGGATGGGGGAGTGAAGGCACCATCCAGCTGGAGGACACTGGGAATGCAGGTCTGGGGTGCTGAGGCAAAGGCCACACGAATGAGCATCAGTGGCCACCTGCTCACAGATAGCTCTGAGGGAGGGGGATGGGCTAGGCAACAGTGAGGATGGCAGCCCAGAGGAGCAAGGTGGGAAGATGCAGAAAAAAACAGGCCTGCAGCTCAAGTTCATGTCTTCCCATCCTGAACCCAAGGTTCCCACTGGAACTACAGGGCAGGCTGTCAAGCAGGCAGCTGCATGGGGCAGTCCAGACCCCGCAGACAATCAGGAGCCAGGGCGGGTGGTGTTCCAAGTCATGGCATGGTGCTGCATGCAGTGGAGCACAGGAGACTATGTACCACTCACCCCAAAAAGAGCCCAAGCACAGAAGCCAGTGAAGGGGGGCAGGACGTGAACAGTGACACTGGACTTGGCAGGACTAGAAGTTTTCAGTGGACACTCAAGGCAAAAATCGGGTTGGATAAAGTGGAAGGGGGTGGTACAGTAAGCCAAGCCTCTACCTGCAGCGCCAGCTCCTGTCCCAGCTGCCCCACTGCCCATCCAGCTCCCTGCCTGTGGCCTGGGAAAGCAGTCGAGGACGGCCCAAAGCCTTGGGACCCTGCACCCATGTGGGAGACCCAGAAGAAGCTCCTGATTTTGGATCAGCTCTTGCCATTTATGGCCACTTGGAAAGTGAACTAGTGGATGTAATGGTTCTTTTTCTGTCTCTCCTTTCTCTGTAAAATAAATCTTTAAAAAGAAAAGAACAACAACAAAAAGCTGAAGGCATGGAAGTGGAGAGGATGCTGGAAAGAGCTGGGATGGAAAGAAGAGATGCGGGTGGGGTACCCAGATGGGATACGGGCTACTTCCTGGTGGCTGCTGGCTGACAGGAACGGGCAGGCAGGGGCATGGCCTTGGCCGAGAGCTTCTGCCTTCCCTGGACTCTGGGCGACAGGGACCGTCAAGGGGAGACGCCATAGGAAAGCTGCCTTTAGAAATGGTTCTCGAGGATTGGAAGGCCACTGCCAAGACCCAGGGGATGCCAGGGGATGCCGCAGCCCTGTGTGTGTCCCCATGCCTTTGTGAAGCTAAAGTGCAGGCACCAAACAGCACAATAATGGGGCAGTAAGAGTCGAGCACTCAGCTTTGGGAGCACTTCTAATTCCTGCATGCTTCCTGTCCAGGTGCTGTGCCCCACAAAGTCACCACCGGCATGGAGCTAGGCTCCTGGGAAAGGGTGGCGTGGGGTCCCTGTGAGCCTCGTACCACATGTCTCTCTTCAGACACATCAGCTGACACACCTGGCTGACTTGGCTGCCCTGAGCTCACAGCAGAGCTGGCCGAGCACTGCGTCCTCCACAAGGTGCACCACAGCTCTCCTGCGTGCTCGGGCACTAGCAGCAGTCAGTGGCCAATTCAGCAACAACCCCCACACACACCAAATCTACCCCTACCCTGGCCCCCTTTGCCCCTCAGGTGTGGGCTGCAGTTTCCAGACAGCTCACACAGCAGATGGACACTGCAGCCACTGGCTGGGTCAAATCCCAACTCTGCCACCTGCTGGCTGGGCATACTGGCCATTTCCCCAGAGCTCTGCCTGGCAGAGCCTATAGGAAAGCTGGTGGAGGGGCAGAGCACTCCTTTATTTTTTTGTTTGAGAGGCATTGAGATGGAGAGGGAGAGCTCCCATCTGTTCGTTGACTCCTTCAAATGCCCACAGCAGCCAGGGCTGTTCCGGGAGGCAGGCAGGAGCCAGGAATTTCATCCAGATCTCCTCGCTGAGAGGTGGGGACCCAAGCACCTGAGCCGTTGCCTGCTGCCTCCTCTTGCATGGCACACATGAGCAGGCCACCAGGTTAGAAGCTGAGGCAGGATCTGTCCTTGGCATTGCCAACACAGAATGGGGGAACCCCAAGCAATGGCCGAAGCTACTGAGCAAGGCTTCCCATGCCCACACCCACCTCAGGCCACGTCCTCTCCCACAGTAAGCCAGGCTCGGGGCTGCACACCAGGAGCTCGGCCCGTGTTTGCAGGGGATGAGAAGAAAGGAATGAAGGCCTACCTCATGTGTTGCTCAGAATTCGGGCATGTGGGCTTGTGTTCCTTCCCAAGCCTGCCTAGCTCCTAATGAGCTGAGCAGAGAAATGGTCACAGTCTCACGGAGTGTCCTGGACAGCCAATGATGCCACACACATCTCCGTGGCCAGCTCCGAACGGCTCTCCCCCCGAGCTAGCAACCAGCCAGGGTGTGACTTCACGTCTCTCCCCTAATTGAAGCCCTTTCTGTGGGGTGGTGGGAGCACTAACCATCACCCGCTCCCCTCTCCATGACAGCATCTATTCTTCACCAAATGATACCCTGAGCAAGACTGAGTCACCCAACCTAGGGCTCATAGGACTCGGAAACCGCCAGGGGGCTTTGCCTGCCCTGGCGTTGGCTTCCGGGATCTGCAACGGCAACCCCAAGTACAGTTTCCACCTGCGCATACTGAGCCCAGCTCCCTCTTAGTCTGTGGCCAAAAACTGGCCAGGGAGGAGGAGATGGTGCGTGGGTCTATCAGGTCACACGCAGGGATGGGGCTTCAGGATCCAAGCTCTGGCACCTCCAATAGCACGGGTAGCAGGGAGTGTCTGTGGAATCCAGAGCCAGCAGAGACAGGATTAAGCCAGGGCACAGCCCTGACCAAAGGCAGCCCGCCAGCCCCGCTGAGAAGACACAGGCTTCGAACACGCGGCCAGGGGGGTGCTTGTTTATTAGACTGATGCTTCATCCCATCCCGGCTTTGGGCAAAGAGCAATGCCTGTGACCTGAACCACAAGGGCCAGGTGTGGTCACAGATGCCGGGCAGATCCAGAGTTTGCGGGAGATAGGGGAGGGCACCTGACTACACCAGCAAACACGCCTCGGGTTCCTTTCACTCAAAACCACCTTCAGTTCCTGGTAAGTCCACAAAACATACCTAGGTACTCAGAGATAAATGGTTCAAAAATGGAGCACAGACTCTAGCCCCCTGTGCCCCAAAGGTCTAAAAGCACCAGGGTTCAGGGTAGACCCCAGGGTGCTGAGGCAGCCTGAGCCTGCAGCAGTGCCAGCCCTTTCTCTCAGACCGCAGCTTCTGGGAGATCCAGGGAGAAGGCCACGTCTCTGTGCACTTTCCTGTTTAGATCTCTACACTTCTGAGTAAAAATGCAGCCTGTGGCCAGCACTGCCCTGAGCTCCACACCCTAGCTCAGCCCCACTGCAGCAGCTTCCCCCTTATTTTCCTCATTACCCCTCACTTTTCCAGCAGCTCGCGTCACCAGTCCCCGTGCTGGAGTCTTGGCCCACCCCGCCTGTTCTGGGAGCTGAGGGCAGGAGAGCCACACAAGCGCTCAGCACCCGCCCCAGGACGGGGCCTGCTGCGTCCTGCAGCCCGTCTGCACTGTCATCCCACAGCCTCTGTAATGCACATTTTGCATGTCTCAACGAAACCCAGCGGTTTTCTGTGCTTTACTATGTAAGCGCTCCGCAAGTGGGTGCCACCCCAGGGTCATGGTGGTTTACTGGGAGAACTGTGCCAGCAGCACGTAAAGCCTCTCTCCTTTCCACAGGAACACGGCTGAGCCCCGCCCAGGAGGCCACAGGGCTCCCCACCCAGGGAGTCCTTAGGAGGAGGGCTGAAGGAAGGCCTCCTCTCCCTGCTGGGCACACCAGGATGCTCTGCGCCCCGGTCACGCATGAGCCGTGCTCCAGACAGCTGTGTCATCACCGCCCCATGATGAAGCTGGGCTGCTCTTCCTCTTCATCCTCCTCTGTTCCAGACGCCTCCTCAGAGCTACTGGACTGCGGCTCCGGGGCCTGACCGGCTCCTGTAACCACATGACATTCAGATTACAGACGTACAATCTGCTGGCGGAATCAAGGGTGTTTTTAAACAAGGGAGAGCTAACGGGGAAAACAAGGAACTACCGTACCCACACGCAGGTGGGGAGCCGCAGTGGCCCCCCCCCCGGCCACAGTGCCTCTCACCGTACCCTGAAGTGGGGTCAGCACAGGTGGGCCTCATGCTCACCGCCAGGGTGGCAGCAAACAGGCCCCTCCCACACCAGGCCCTACAGCTTGTGACCCTGGCCAGGCAACAGGGAGCACTGGGCTTACAGTGCCCACTGCAGTCAGCAAAGGACCTCCAGAATCACACGCAGAGGGAATCTGCCCTCAGCAAGCCTGCCAGCCACAGGCCCGGGACCCCTTCCTGACACCCACGTGCAGTATTTTCCCTGCTGCGATTGGCAGACGGGCAAAGGCAGAGCAAAGACAACTTATCCTGCTCTCCTCTTCTCTCTCACTTCTCCATGCCAGCAGAGCAGTGGGCAAGAGCTGGGAAGAGGCAAGGCAGGTGGCCTGGGCTCAGCCACTCCAGGTAACTCCTGCGGGCACGGCAGCCTCCAAAGTCACCATACAGGACTAACGCCAACATCACAGCCAGAGCTTGGCTCCCACGATCACCACAGGCCCAGATGAGAGTTTCACGGTGGGTCCCTTCTGGGGACAGAGCTGGGATGTCTCAGGATGCGAAGCCCTTCTTCCCTGCACCGCCATGTCAAACAGAACGAGCCATTTGCAGAGCTCAGGTGATGAGCTAGCTCCTGACTTGCACTGTGCTGTCTTCCCACACAGCATCTGCTTGGCTCTAGCAAGAGTCCCTGACGGCCACATCAGTGTTACGGGCCTGTGTGACAGACGGCTGAGTCAAGCGTGGTCCATGATTGTCAAGGCAAGGACCAGGAGTCAAGCTCAGAGGACTGGAACCCTCAGGCCCTGGCCCACCTTGTCTGCCATAAGTGCCCAAGGAAGCAAGGAATCTGGCATGCAAGGTACCAGATGGGCATCCTGCCCTCCATCCTGAAGGCCAGGGCACCAGGCAGCCCACTCCGCAGCTCAGTCCTCACACCCTAGCTGGGGGCCTCTACTCTAGAAGCTGGGCTTCAAGGCTGAAACTTGCAAAAACCTGTTTAGGTCTGAAGTTGGATTCTGTCCCAACATTGACAGCACATACATGGGTGAAGCAAGAGGTGCGTGCGCACACACACACGGATACAGCTGGACAAGGGCAGAGGCCCAAGCTCTGCAAGTGATGGTAACACGCTGGCAAACCTGGCTGGCCATGGCAGGGGGAACGGGGCAGGCCACCCAAGGCATTCCGGTGGTGGCCAAGCCCTCCCTTTACACAGCATGGTGTTATCCGCACTGAGAAGCATGCCCAAGGGTCCAGAAACAGCAGCTGGAAAGCAGCAAACTAGAACCTGCACAAGTTCAGGTCACCTGGCAATGTAACAAGTCACCCAACTCATTCTTTCATGTAGTAACTAAGTGAACGGCAATAAATCATTAACTAGCCAGCTACTGTGCTTAATGCAGCGGATGTAAAAATCACCAATCTAATCACAGCCGGAACGAGACATCAAGCACACAGGTTAGCATGGCCCGCACTGTTTTCAGAAGGCTGGGCAGCACCAGATGCTGGCACTGACTTGGCACAGCAAGGACTTTGACCTGCTGCTGGCTGGCGCCCAAACACGGCACCGCCAGACAGCCTCCCGTAGAGCTGAACACCATGCACTTCATCACACAGGCGGGCTCACAGGCATCTGCTCATTCACCTGAAACTCGGATGGTGCATGCCAAGGTTTGCTGCAGCTTTATTCCTAACTGCCAGGACCTGCAGGAACTCAGACGTCCTCAAGCAGGTGACTGGCCACCATGACATGCAAATCTTCAGCAACAAACAAGACGGAGGTACTCAAAGTCATGGGCGAACCTCAAGTGGGTCCTGCCAAGTGCAAGAAGCCAGCCTGGAAGAGGCAGCACACCCCATACCCCTCACCCAGCAACCCTGTGGAAAAGGCCAAACCAGAGACAGCATGGAGTCAGGCAGAGTGGGAGGAACACAACAGATGCTCCCAGGCCAGGACACCATGCTGGGTGATGCCGTGATCCTGCAGTGTGACGACACCCACAGTGTCAACAATCCAACTCTAACTGTAACATGAGGGAAACTTCCCGAGGGTGTCAGGGGGCCCAGGACAGGATACTGGAGACAAAAGGAACCCACGCACATCACAGACGTGTGCCCCTGTGTGGGCACCTTCTGCACATGAGTGGAGCCTGCAGGGCGGGGGCCCCAGGAGCAGAGAGCCTGCAGGGCTGCATCCCTGGGAGCCGCACACAGCGCTGCTCTCTGCTTGCCGAGGTCCCTTCCCACAGGGCAGTGTCCCTGTGTACGAGACCTGGACAGCTCCCACTGGAGATGGACGGCGGGGCAGCATTCCTCATGCAGGAGACAGACACCAGGGAGACAGGAAGACTAGTGTGATCGCTGAGCTGATGGCTCAGGGCTGCAGAGGCGCTGCTGGTGAACAGAGACGGATGGCTATGTATCCCCCCTCAGGACACACAGGCTTGGCTGTGCAGGCAGCCGGGAGCCCCACACACCAACACCCAGCAGCACCCCCAGTGCACAGATCCTGGTTTCGAATATCATCCATCCTGCAAATGGAACCAGTGTTTCTTAGACAAATGGCCATTTCTAGGTCTGGGACAGAAAATAGGATGTCTGTGAGTGCTAGAGAATGAGAAGCAGAGAAAAGAAAAAAATCCACCCAGGGATGGGGCGTTGTCAAAGGAGGCAAGAGTCCACAGGAAGAGCTTCTGGTGGCCGAGGTGGGGACTGGACTGGACCTGACACAGGGACCTCAGGCTGGCAAGCCGGGGGGGACAGGGGTGTTCACAGCCAAGAATCCTGCTGCCTGGCCAGCCCTCCCAGGGTACACTCCTGCTGGAGAAGTGGTGGGCCTCCTCCCAGAACACGCAGCCCCAGTCTAACCATGGGAGAAACAGAGAATTCCAGTGTGAGGACACTGCAGAGGAGGCCTGACCCAAGGAAAAGGACAGCTCAACTCACAGGAGCCTTAGGACATCCAGATCACAGGTGACCCGACTAAGGGAAAGGTGCAAACCCTTGGACCCTGCACCCGTGTGGGAGGCCTGGAAGAAGTTCCTGCCTCCTGGCTTCGGATTGCCACAACGCCAGCCGTTGCAGTCACTTGGGGAGTGAATCACCAGATGGAAGATCTTCCTTTCTGTCTCTCCTCCTCTCTTTCTATATATATATCTGACTTTCCAATTAAAAAAAAATAAATAAATCTTTAGGAAAAAAAAACCCTAGCATCCTTTGTGGGGGCTGGTTCAAGTCCCAGCTGCTCCACTGCCCATCCAGCTCCCTGCTTGTGGCCTGGGAAAGCAGTGGAGGATGGCCCAGTGCTTGTGCCCTACACCCACCTGGGAGACCCAAGTGGAGTTCTGGAATCCTGCCGGAATGGCTCAGTGGCTCAGCCACTGCAGCTACTGGGAAGTGAACCAGCAGACGGATCTGTCTCTCTCCCTGTCACCCAGCCTTTCAAATCAATAAATAACTAATTAAAAATGGTTAAGGACTCAGCCTTCACTGACCACTCATGAGGCTGACCAAGTGTTACCAATACAAGTGCCACAGTCCCTTCTGGAAAATCACTTAACGTAGCAAAAGGTGGCAATGTGCACTCAGACCTCCCAGAGCATGGCACACCTCACTGCCAGCGAGCGGCTGACTCCCCCATTACCCGCCAGAGGGCGCCCTGGGACCACACTCAGGAAGCCATCCGGAGGGCAGCTAGGGAGATCCAACAGTCCCAGCATGTAAGGTGACACCTACTGTGTACTGCTGGGGGAACCTTTGGCTTTTTGGTTCCAAATAAGCACCACCACTTTCTCCCTCATTCCTGCTCTGCAATCAGGGAACATGATGACAATGGCAAGTGTTGTGGCAGCCATCTCACACCCGGGGTGGGGCAGTAAAAGCCAAGAGAACTGCAGGCCCGCTGGACCAGCTACTATTCAGCTACGGAAGCAGCAGGCTTCTCATCATGGAAAGGAAACTGACAACTCCTCACTAAGCCAGAGCAAGCTGACTCAGCAGATGAGTCCATCAGAACCAGAGAGATACAAGAACACTGGGAGGGCCCTGCAGTGCTCCCTGTGCACAAGGATGCTGCCAGATGCACACGCAGCAGCGGCGGCAGGCGCCTCCCTCCTAGCCAGAAGGCAAGGGCCAGTGTGGGGACAGGTGGCTAGGGCAGAGAGAGATAGGGGTCCCCTATGGACTGCCTGTGGGTTCAGCGTCCTTGCTGGGCCACTTTGGCCTGCTCACCCTGGCCTGTAGGCGAGCTGAGGCTCCTACAGGGAAGTGGGCATTTCCTCCAGGCCATGGGCAACACTGGACAGAGCCTACAGCCATGACAGGCAGTGCTGCTCACCTTCTTTCTGCTTCTTCTGTTCAAGTTTCATCTTCTTTGCCAATAATTTCTTCTCCTTCAACTTCTGGCTGTCAATGTAAAAGACACAAATGAACCGTAGCTTAGAATACAAACGTAAGGCCCAGCCAACAGCCTAGGGGCCAAATCCTTGCCTTGCATCTGCTGGGATCCCATAGGGGTGCTGGTTTGCGTCCCAGCAGCCCCACTTCCCATCCAACTGCCTGCTTCTGGCCTGGGAAAACAGCACAGGACAGCCCAAAGCCTTGGGACCCTGCACCCGCGTGGGAGACCCACAAGAAGCTCGTGGCTCTGTCTTTGAGTTGGCTCACTTCTGGCCACTGCAGCCATTTGGGGAGTGAGCCAGTGGACAGAGGATCTTACTGCTTTCCGAAAATCTTCGAAGAAAAAAGTCAGTCATGCTATCTAAAAACTTGCAGCAGAAACATTTTATCATCTTTAAAAAATAATAATAAAAGATTGATTTCTTTCAAAGACAGTTACAAAGAGAGAGAGACACAGATCTTCCATTTGTTGGCTCATGCCCCAAAGGGTTGTCATGGCGAGAGAAGGGCCAATCCAAAGCCAGGAGCCAGGGACTCCATCCGGGTCTCCATGTGGGTGCAGGAAGCCAAGCACTCAGGACATCTCCCACTGCTTGCCCGGGGCACTAGCAGGCAGCTGGGTCAGAAGCACAACAGGCCAGGATTCTAACACATCCATACAGGATGCCAGAGGCTTAACCCATCACACTACAATGTCAGCTCCTTTGTTCTTTAATTTTAAAGATTTTATTTTGATTGGAAAGGCAGATATACACAGAGAAGGAGAGAGAGAGAGAGAGGAAGATCTGTCTGCTGGTTCACTTGTCAAATGGCAGCAATGGACGGAGCTGAGCCAATCTGAAGCCAGGAGCTTCCGCCAGGTCTCCCACGTGGGTGCAGAGTCCCAAGGCTTTTTGGTCATCCTCTGCTGCTTTCCCAGGCCAAAAGCAGGGAGCTGGAAGGGAAGTGGAGCAACCAGGATACAAACCAGTGCCATATTGTTCCCAGGTGTATGCAAGGATTCAGCCACTAGGCTATCACACCAGGCCCCAATTATTTTCCCCTCCTTATTTGAATAGTATGGCAACACAGCAACAGAAACATTCTCACATCTACTGCCTTCTTCACAGATTCTCAGGAGCCAGGAGCCTGGAACTCTCTCCAGCTCTCCCCCCACCTCCATAGGTGGCAGGGACCCAACCAACTGTCTTCTCCCACAGCGTGTGCAGGCAGGAAGCTGGGCTGATGGCAGAGCAGCAGGACTTGGAGCAGGACTTGTCTGCGCACTGAGCAGCCATTCCTCCGCATCAGAGACCTGCCAGCAACACACACTCCTCACGGCCCTGCCAGTCCAGCATGGCCAACATCACGAGCCAAAAGCCGATCTGGGGAAGTCCTGAGGGGACTAGGGTAATCTCCAACACCCTGGAGGCGTGCTTCATCCCAAGATGCTCAGCTCTCTAAAACCTGAGACCATTTAAACACTCTCTCGGGTGCAGTACAGTAGCTTAGTGGCTAAAGTGCTCACCTTGCATGCACTGGGATCCCATATGGACACTGGTTCATATACCAGTGGCCCTGCTTCCCATCCACCTCCCTGCTTGTGGCCTGGGAAAACAGCTGTGGACGGCCCAAAGCCTTGGGACCCTGCATCCACTGGGAGCTCAGAAGAGGCTCCGGGCCTCTGGCTTTGGATCAGCTCAGCTCTGACTGTTGCGGCCACTTGGGAAGTGAATCAGCAGATGGAGGATCTTCCTTTCTGTCTCTCCTTTTATCTGGCTTTTCAATAAAAATAAAAAATAAATCTTTAAAATAAACAATATTTTAAAAAAGCCAAAAAACCAAATACACACTCACTCTCTCCTCACTACACAGACACACATAAACATAGCATGTACACTGTGCAGTCACTTGAGGAGGTCACAGAAGCTAATTTAAGGAACAAGCTAAACGGGAAGTCTGGTTATAGCACTTGGAAAGAATTGGTGAATGAATGGTCTTTCTCTCTCTCGGTCTCTCTAACTCTGCGTTTCAAACAAATAAACCAGACTTCAAAACAACAAAAATTCTGATGTTAAAACACAGATGTGAGGGGCTGACAGCAGTGGGCGAAGCTGCAGCCAGCAATACAAACGTCCCATACTGGAGAGGCAGTCTGAGTCCCAACAGCTCTGCTTCACTCCAGGCCACTGCTTGGGGCCCGGGCACACCAAGGCCAGGCCTGCCCAGAGCGCTAGGCTCCCAACGTTGGTCCTGTCCAGCCCAGCCCCAGCCTTGGTGGACAGCTGGGGAAGAGAACCAGTGGATGGAAGATTTCTTTTTTTGTCTCTACCTCTTTCTGTTATTGTACTTTTCAAACACACTACAGAAGCATTGGTGACCCAGAGGTCCACATGTTCCCCGAAGTCCTGGCTTCTAAGCTTTGTAGAGTTGGGCAGACGCAGGGGAGCTGAGAGCTGCTCTCGCCAGGCGCTGGGAGGACAGTGACTCCCCGGAAGGGCTGCCCGACAGAAGGCTGTGGGTCTGCAGAGTGGGTGCACTCGCTGGCCACCCACACCCACGTCCCTGCCTGGCCCGGGGTGCCGTGACTCACCGCTTCTTCCGCCGCTTGGCCGTCTGCTCCTCGGCAGCGATCTTATTCTTTTCCAGCCTTTTCTGAAATTCTGCATCCAACCTTTGCTGCAAACAAACACCCATCATTTGGACAGATTCGGGCCTGGGTAGGCTGCAGGAGGCCGCATGCAGGCCGGCTGTGGGAGTTCTAGAAGTCACACCACTGTGGGTTCTGTGGGCACCACGAGGCCCACAAGGCCACTTTATTTTATTTATTTATTTAAGATTCATTTTTATTGGAAAGTCAGACATAGAGGAAGAGAGTCTGCAAGGAAGATCTTCTGTCCGCTGGTTCACTCCCCAAGTGGCTGCAATGGTCGGAACGGAGTCAATCTGAAGCCAGGAGCCAGGAGATTCTTATGGGTCTCCCAAGCAGGTGCAGGTTCCCAAGGCTTTGGGCCGTCCTCAACTGCTTTCCCAAACCATAAGCAGGGAGCTGGATGAGAAATGGGGGCTGCCGGGACACAAACTGGTGCCCATATGGGATCCCAATGCATGCAAGGCCAGGATTTAGCCACTAGGCTATTGTGCTGGGACCTCTTTTTCAAAAAGATATATTTATTTTTACTTCAAGGTGATATGGGGGAAAAAAAGATCTTCCATCTGTTGGTTCACTCCCCAAACAGTCACAATAGCCAGGGCTGTGCTGTTCTGAAGCTGGGAGCAGGAGTTTCTTCTGGATGTCCCACATGGGTACAGGGACTCAAAGACCTGGGTCACCCTCTACTACCTTTGCCTAGCAGGATGGGAAATGGAGCAGCTGGGACACAAACCAGCAGCCACACGGGATGCTGGCAACACAGACGGGATCAGTTTGCTATGCCCCACACTGGTCCCACAACAGCCATTTCCACTCAAATTACAGATTCCACTCAATTCAACTGAAGTGGGAATTATATTCCCCAAAATTTAACCAGAAACATGGAACAAATGAAATGAAGGGAGTATTTTTAAGAGCCTCAGAGAGCCATTCTAACCCCCAGCCAGGTAAAAGCTTCCCAGGTTTTAGTTAAATGTGCTAAGCAAGTCTCCGGCTCTTCCATCATGACACCAGCCATGAGGAAGGGTCACCCCAAAGCTACAGAGCACAAAACCTCAAGGCAGCAAATGCAAGAGTGTACCCCAACTGCTCACAGCAAACCCAGCTGACCCCACGGGCAGCACTGAGGTGGCTAGCCAGATCCAGGCAGAGAACAGAGGGCAGCAATGGCCTGATGCTGGTGGACAGGCCGCACCGTGGGGACCTGGGCCCTCAGGACCGCTCATGTGAGCTGGGTGTGACCTGGGGACTCTCACGCCGATTGTTTCTGTTCTCCTGAGCCCTGCACTGGGACCACACTCTCCCAAAGCTTGCTGGTTCCTGTGGTCCCCGCCTGACCACCTGGCCCACTGACCTTCTCAGCCATGGCATCCATGTAGTCCTGCCGCTGGTACTCTCTGCGGCGCAGGTGCCTATACACGTGGAACTCTCCGCTGCCGGCTCCAGCACTGGAACCTACAGCCAGAACAGAGCAGCACAGGATGCCCTGAACCCAAAGGCAGACCAGCACGACACTGCGAATGGTGGGACTGTGTCTGCCTCCCCCCTCAGCCTGGCGTGCCAGCCCTGGTGCCCACCCTATTGCGGGCGGGAAGGCTGAGTGGACAGCTGCTGTGGGAACCTGGGAGTGCCGGGTCTGTCTGAAAGCACACCCTGGGCAGTCTCCACCTCCAGGATGAGGCTGGAGTGGTCACAGGTGCCATCGGTCAGAGGGGCATGGCCTGTCAACTCAGGTCCCCCTCAGGGGGCCAGGGGAATGTAGGACCTCCACGTTCACTTCCAGGGGCACCGCCACAGCCCCAGAAGGCAGCACAGTCCGCTCACTGTGGCACCTGTGTTTAAACCACTGTTACAGGCAACAGCGATTCTTGGGGTTCAGGTGCAGCAGGGGCATGCTGTGGCTCCCGGGTCAGAAGCCCTGTACCCCAGCCCAGGACCTTCCCCCTGCCCCGGGGCACCCTCAGACAGCAACCCCACCCAGCTACAGAGCCGCCCATCACAGAAGGGGCTGTGGCGGGTCTGTCCTAACTGAATTCTCCTTCACCCAGGACGACACTGCACATTGGGATGTAACTCATCAGACACTTCACAAGTGGGCTTGGTGGGTCCACATTTCTACTAGTCTCTGCGTTTACCTCTTTGACAATGACCATGTCTTGATTTGTCACGCAAGGAGAATAGGCAGTATAAAGGATTCCCCATTAGGGAAAAACAGCCACCCACCATTAACAATAACTGGGGGGGGGTGGGCAGGCACTCAACAGGCTAACCCTCCACCTCCAGCAACCACACCCTTCTTACATATCAAAAGGGTAAACATTTTTTCCCCCTTAGCCTACCTAACAAATTATTGAATGTAACTCTTATTATCTCTAAGAGCTTTTATGTACACACACACGGACATTACCCATCACGTCTCGGACAAATTCCGGGGGTGGCCGCGGCGCCCACTCGCTCATCTTTTCCGGAATTGGCACAGCTTTGTCCTGCGACCCGGTGGGGGTGGGGGGACAGAAGAGCAGTGGTGAGGGGTCACCCTGTGCACCCAGGGGGGCGTCTATAATGACCAAGCACCAAGCCAGCAGCGTGCGGGCAGGTGGACCACGAGCCCACGTGGGGTGCCAGTGTCGTCCCCCTCTGTCAGGGGTTCCCACGCCCCCCGGCTCCCGGGGGTCCCCGCGTCCTCCTCCCCAGCTCCCAGGGGCCCCCACGTCCCACCGGCTCCCAGGGGTCCCCACGTCCCCCCAGTCCCCGGGGGCCCCTCCACGGCTCCCCAGGGTCGCCCCGAGAGCTCGGGCGCCGATTCCCGACACTGCCCGCCGCAGCGGAGTGGGGCGGGAGACGGCGGGCGCCCCTCGTCTTACCGGGTTCTTCATGAGTCGCTCCAGCTTGAGCTTCTGCTCCTCCGCCGCGTTCTTAGGGATGACCAGCGTCTGGGGCTCTTTCTTGGGCCTCGGCGGGCGCACGGAGGACGCGGCCGAGCTCGCCATGACGCCGCTTCCCTCGCAGTCCTCAGCCGGAGGAACGCTA